CTCTATCGGAATGATTGTAATTGAAGCGATAATCTCTCCTTATCTCATAGTAATAACAGTCTTTCTCTTAATCGCATTTTATGTTTTGTGGACTACTCATAACAGCGTTTTGAAAAGCATAAAATATTTAGAAGGAAAATGTATGTATTAATAAATCAAAGTTTTTGTATGTTATTTCATAACATGGAAATTGAATTTAGTAAATATTTATAAAATGAGTCGTGTATTATGTAAAACGTTTATTTTTATAGCGAGAAGTCCTGTATTTTCTCATCTGAGTGCATCCCTGTATGGAATTACAACGATCAGAGCATTTAATGCTGAAAGCAAATTTATATCCACTTTTAATGAATACCAGGATAAGCATACTGCAACGTGGTTTATATACCTGTCATTAAATCGATGGAATTGCATATACGGTCAAATAATTGGTTTCATATATCTAATTATTACCGTTATTGTTGTAATTGTTTTCGTGAATACTGGTAAGTGAATATATTGAACATCCTTAAATTAAAAAGTTTAATACATTTTTAACTTATACAATTTATAGATGACGCAGGAAGCAAACTAGGTCTTGTTATGAATTACGGATTCATGATATCTATGCATTTTCAGTGGATAATAAAACAATCTTCTGAAACAGAATATCAGGTAATTTCATTTCATTATTATTATTTATTATCAATTAACTAGGGGCCATCAATAAGGAAATGGTTATAACAAATTCTCACTAATAATTGGTTACAGAATTGCTCCTTACTAAAAGGCTTGCAATGTGAAGTCTCCGGGTGTTTTCGTGACACCCACCTAGAATCGAGTTTATTTATTATTAAACGTGTATTTAATGAAATATTGGATATACTCTGTACAGGATTTTCAACTGGATTTTCAAGTAACGAAACAAACACTTGGCAGATCAGATTTAAATTGGATGTAATTATCCAGAACCACGATTTTGTTTTATACAAATAGCACCAATGTTATAATTTATCAGGATACATACAAATAACAAGAAACACTGTACACAATGAAATATTTGTTGTTACTTTATAGAGTGTTTAGTTTGTTTTCTGTTGTAACTATTGTGTCATGTTTGTATGTCTTTTCCTATCATCCTGTTTATTCACCAAGTATTTCGTATTATCTGATACACATTCGATTTTTCAGATGAATTCTGTTGCTCGTATACTAAATTACAGCAATTTGAAATTAGAAGCAGCATACGAATATTCGACTGACAAACAACCTCCTGCAGATTGGCCACGTAAAGGGGAAATTGAATTTAAAAATGTATCATTGCAATACTCGAAAGATAAAAACATTGTTCTAAATAACTTAACATTTCGTATTCATTCGGGAGAAAAAGTATGTTATGTGTAAAATATTAATAGAAACAAATTTGCAAATAATTGTTTTAAGAATTATCGTTTTATTATCATTTTTATTGCAGATAGGAATTGTTGGACGAACAGGAGCTGGAAAGAGTTCAGTAATTGCCGCTTTATTTTGTATGACAGAGCCAACAGGAACGATAATCATCGATGGTGTCGATGTTAAGTCTATAGGCCTTCGGGATCTACGTAGTAAATTATCAATCATTCCTCAAGTAAATAAGTGAAATTATTAATAACATATATTTTTTATTGTTCTTAATAATTTACACAATGCTAGCGTTTTCNGCTGTTATATTAAAATTTTTTTACTTCTTATAATAATTCATGCATTTTTTCAGGATCCAATGTTATTTACTGGTCCTTTTCGAAAAAACATTGATCCTTTTAATGAATATTCAGAAGAAATGCTATGGCAAGTTATAGAAGAGGTGAAAAAAATACTTAAATAATATTATATACTAATAGATGCCAGATATCAGTGGCCAATATGAATTGTATACTATATAATACGTATATTATTAAAGGTTCAGTTAAAAGACGATATTGGGAAGTTACCTGGAGGGTTGGATACGCACGTAAGTGAAGGAGGTCGAAATTTCAGCGTTGGACAAAGGCAGTTAATATGTTTAGCAAGAGCAATTCTTCGTGACAATAAAATCTTAGTTATGGACGAAGCAACATCCAACATGGATAAAGAGTAAGATTGTATTAGAGAAATATATATAAAAGATTTAAATTTTATGTACGGTAAGTTTATTTAATGTTATAATTTGTATTCTTCATCCAATTCTTATATTTATGTTAGAATATCAGACTTCCTAATTCTATCGATATTCTATCGAAATTTATTATAAAAAGTAAGTATAGTTTTCTGGTGGCAAGCTGAAATAAAACTATTGTTTGAGATAAATTTAAGTTGGTGTGTTGCAAAGAATCGCTATTTTTAAAACTTTGCAATTTATATCAACATACCGATGAATAAATTTAATAGCTCGCAGTAGGAATCAAAATTTTATAGAGAATACATACTTTTGATTGGGTGTTTACAGATTCCTAAGTTCAATATATTCTACTAGTATTAAAACACATGGAACATGATGATTTTTAAAAATAATAACGTATGTAATTTTGGCAAATTTTTCTTTGTAAGCAATAAGAACAGGTTTTCTTATATGTTAAAAATGACATAAACCTGTATAAATCATTATATCCAACTCGTTGTACAGAACTGAACTCATAACTAGTCAACCTTTAGTGGATGATATTGTGTATGATTGTCATTAGTGAATTGATATGGATATTTGTAATATTTATATTTAGTTAGTTCGAATCTATTAGGGGCAATCAAATGAAAACGTGACAGACTATATAACAAGTGTGGCACGGAAGTTGGTAATGCAGGGAGGTATATATATAGAAATGCCCTCTATTGAGAATCAGGAAGGAACAGCCTGAACGATCACCGCTGTGCCATTTGTCTGTTAGACGTGCTCGAAGTGAGGTCGGCGAGTCGTGTGTGCATCCAATATCACTATGGAGGTCCGCTGCTTGTTGACTTTCTGGAACACGGAGCCACAATGAATGTACAGCGGTACATAGAAACTTTGCAAAAATTGAAGCGTTTCATCAAATCCAAACACTCAGGAATGTTGACAGACAGCATTATTCTGTGCAGGCTAATGCCCACCCACATGTTACCAAGGTTGTTTTGACTACGCTGCAGAAGTTTCGTTGGAAACTTCTGCAGCATAGTCCATACACATCCTCCATACAGTCCCGATTTTCTCCCATGCGATTTCCATACTTTTAGAGCCCCGAAGAAAGACATTCGTGGCCGTCAATTTGCTTCGGACGAAAAGGGCACGCCTGGGTACAATCATGGTTCCATAGCAACCGCAAACATTTTTCTATGAACTCATTGATCGTCTTGTCTTACAGTAGGATAAATGTATTAACAGTTATGGCAATTACTTTCGAAACAATAAACAGTTTACTTACTTTATCCCCATCTGTCTCATTTTCATTTGTCTGCCTCTAATAGAACAACTCTCTGAATTTATTTAACTTTACAATTTAGCTATTATTTGTATTACATTTCGATAATCAATTGCTTCTTTAGATTTAATACACGGATTGTAAATGCAATGATTTTGTATTTTTTCTATTAAATTTTTCGGAAAGGAAAACATTATATATTTAAATGATTTTAGTCTGACATTTTTTAAATCGTGCTATCTGTATTGAAACGTTTTTATATTATATGGTTTCATGTCGAAACGATTTTTCTTCAAATAGTTTTTAACAATTTGAATAATTTTGTGAGTTTGATAATAATACTACTCGAATTTAACAAAATATATTAGAATTATTTAATAGGTAAAATTATTTAATAACTTTTCAGTCACTTATTTTTAATTTCAGTTATAGTTGGTTTTCGTTTATAAATTAAAAAGAAGTCAAAATTTTCTTTACAGTACATAAGGTTATTATTTTACTTTATTGGGTGAGGATGCTACTATTCAGGTGTTCTCCAGCTTTATTTTTTACTCTGTGTAAACTGAAATTCGCTTTTTCTTCCAATTGAAGAATGTTTTCTGATTTTGGACTAGGCACCTCGCTGTTGAGGATTTTCAGGATGATAGATATAGCCTTGTTAGCAAGTAATGCGAAATAAAGATTCGTATATTATGCAGTATATTTCAATCCCCCTTTATTTTCTATCGACACCCATTATGCTTGTGCCAGGACATACGTGAGGTGTGATAAAACATTGTCTTTCTTCTGACATGGTAAAACAAGCATAAATTAATTGGTTGACAATAGAATTAACAGGTGCACTCACTAATTAACGTTTTAAATATTAATTTCTTAACTGTTCTATTCAGCTATTTGTGTTACATTAATTTAGCATAATACATTTATGTATTTAATTGACTTTATTTCCAGCACCGACTGTTGCGTACAAAAAGTAATTCGAGAAAAATTCAAACATTGTACAGTGTTGACAATTGCCCACAGATTACATACTATTATCGATTCGGATAGAGTACTGGTAAGTTTTATCTGTTTAATAATATAAATTAAGTATGTAAATTATCAATCATTCCTCAAGTAAATAAGTGAAATTATTAATAACATATATTTTTTATTGTTCTTAATAATTTACACAATGCTAGCGTTTTCGAAAAGCTGTTATATTAAAATTTTTTTACTTCTTATAATAATTCATGCATTTTTTCAGGATCCAATGTTATTTACTGGTCCTTTTCGAAAAAACATTGATCCTTTTAATGAATATTCAGAAGAAATGCTATGGCAAGTTATAGAAGAGGTGAAAAAAATACTTAAATAATATTATATACTAATAGATGCCAGATATCAGTGGCCAATATGAATTGTATACTATATAATACGTATATTATTAAAGGTTCAGTTAAAAGACGATATTGGGAAGTTACCTGGAGGGTTGGATACGCACGTAAGTGAAGGAGGTCGAAATTTCAGCGTTGGACAAAGGCAGTTAATATGTTTAGCAAGAGCAATTCTTCGTGACAATAAAATCTTAGTTATGGACGAAGCAACATCCAATATGGATAAAGAGTAAGATTGTATTAGAGAAATATGTATAAAAGATTTAAATTTTATGTACGGTACAGTTTACTTAATACACGGATTGTAAATTCAATTATTTTATATTTTATATGTTAGAATATCAGACTTACTAATTCTATCAATATTCTATCGAAATTTATTATAAAAAATAAGTTAGTTTTCTGGTGGCAAGTTTAAATCAAA